AAGGATGACTCGAGTATGGAACACATTCGTACAGCATAATGTTGTCAACGAGATAAAGTCAGTTGATCAAATGAAAATGCTGGCCCACAGATGGCTCCAACTTCATCCTGTTCCCTACTCGTATGTCTCATAACAATAAAAATGCTTTCAAATGAGCTGATGTAGGTAACAGCTCTTAGCTTGCCAATAAAGTTAGGAATCCTTAACCTGTAAATAGCTTGTCAATAAAGCTAGGGATCCTTAACCTTGTCAAACCCTGCGTAAAAAATAAAAAAAAAACACCAACTGCCCCACATACCATTTACAAGGGGCCAAGAGGTACAGACCCATAAAAGAAACCATAGTTGTTACTATAACCCCACTCCAAGTGATTTAAATAAAGAAAGAAAATGGAAAGAAATAACCAAAATAGACCACCTTGGAGACTTATTGGACTGGAGGTACAGCCAGTGGCCACCCACGTCTCTCCAGAGCCACAACTACTGATACCAACAACAAAATCTCCTCAACAAACACGCAACACGACCTCATTTATATTTGCTAATACACAGGGCCTTAAGCCATTCACCAACAACCAAATACCTTTCATCAGTGGACTTCTATAGGAGTCAAATGCGATTTTTGCAGCCTTCACAGAGACCCACACAAGAGATCACTTTTACAACAAATTATGGATAATTGGGTATAACCTTTTTAGATGCAATAGAAGGAACAGGCAACAAGGGAAAATTGGCCTATCTATCAAAGAGTCGCTCATTTGCTCAGAAATGCTGAACACTACAACTGATACAGCTGAAGTTCTAACAATAAAGATCGAGAACCGAAGCTTAGTCAATTTGGTTGTATAAAACCACCAAATGCAACTTCCCAATAGTTCAAGGAACTGCTATTGAAAAGTGACTAGTGTCTGGAGAACTTCCATCCCCATCCCCAAACATCTTACTACTTGGTGATTTCAGTCTAAGACATACAAAATGGAAGAGTGTAGTAAATAATGTAAAAGCAGAAACAATCCTTGGAGATGGATCAGATGAAAAGTCATACACATGAGCTGCTGAATCTCTGCAATAAACGCACCCTAAGCCAGTAGAGAATGGAGCCAACAAGACTGGAGAACACATTTGACCTTATTTCCACAAATAATGATAACTGGTAAAAACATAATAATATCAAAACAACTAATTCAGATCACAATTTAATCGAAGTCAAGACATATATATATATACAAGGGTCCTGACCAGCAAAATGTTCAACAACAACATCAACTGGGATCAGGCAAACCGTGTCCTAAGTGAAACATGTTGGGAAGATATCTTAAATAACATGGATCCCAACCAGTGCCTTGAAAAGATCAACTTCCTGGCAGCTGAAATATGTTCAAGGTATATTCCCTTAAGAAAAAAAGAAAAGAAGTAAACTGGAGAGAGACGCTCCTCTACAGGAGAAAGCAAAGATTCACTGAGCTCCTCAAGAATGCTACACTATCTGAAACACCGAAGAAAGCGCTATCCAGGGAAGTGGAAAATATTAAATTTAAGTTAAAGGACTCATATACGATCCAGCAGTGACAAGAGGAGCTAAAAGCGATTAGTGAAATTGAAAGAAATTCGAAATATTTCTTTTCATATGCCAAAAACAAGGCAAAAACCATATCTAGTATCGGGCCCTTGCTCAGACAAGATGGAACTTACACAGATGACAACAAAGAAATGAGTGAGATAATGAAATCTTAATACGACTCTGTGTTTAGTGAGTCACTAATCAGTCTAAAGATCGACAATCCAAATAATTCTTTCATGAATGAACCTCAAAACCATGTCAATATAGGCCAAATTTCTGACAAAACCCTAACTCTACTAGACTTTGTGAAAGCCATTGACAACATGCCCATGCACTCAGCCTCAGGCCCAGTCTCGTGGAACTCTGTGGTCATTAAGAACTGCAAGAAACCCCTTTTGCGTGCCCTAAGTATGCTATAGAGAAGGAGCAAGACATAGGTGAAATTTCATGGTCACTAAAAGCAACGGATATAGCCTCACTCCATAAAGTTGGCAGCAAAGCAATAGCTAAGAATTATAGACCAATAGCTCTAACGTCCCACATCATAAATATCTTTGAAAGAGTACTAAGAAGCATGATTGCAAACCACTTGGATTCCCAACAGTTGCACAATCCAGGGCAGTATGGGTTCAGAGCAGGTCGATCCTGCCTCTCGCCACTACTGGACCACTATGATATGGTCTAGGATGCACAGGAAGACAAAAAGAATGTAGATGTAATGTACACAGATTTTGCAAACGCCTTTAATAAGTGTGATCATGGTGTAATAGCTCACAAAATGAGTGCTGAAGGGGTAACTGGCAAAGTGGGCAGATGGATCTTCACCTTTCTAACAGTACTCGCACCTATCCTGTTCTTCATCCTCATATAAGACATAGACAGAGATGTAAACCATAGTACCGTATCATCCTTTGTTGACGAAACTAAGACCTGCACGAGACTGTCATTCATTAAAGACACGACAAATCTCCAAGAAGATATAAACCAAGTTTTCCAATGGGCAACGGAGAACAGTATGATGTTCAGTGAAGACAAATTCCAATTACTCCGTTATGGAAAGCTGGAGAAAATAGTAGCTAGAGCTGAGTATACTATAAACTCTCATCATACAATAGGGCAGAAAAGTAATGTGAAGGACCTGGGAGTGGTAATGTTTGAGGATCTCACCTTTAAGGATCACAACAGTGTCATCATCACATCTGCGAGGAAAATGATAAACTGGATAATGAGAACATTCAAAACAAGGGATTCCAAGCCAATGATGATTCTTTTCAATCAGTTGTTTTCTCTAGGCTGGAATACTGCTGTACACTAACATCTTCATTCAAGGCAGGTGAAATCGCAGATCTCGAGAATTTTCAGAGAACTTTTACTGCAAATATAAGTTCCGTCAAATACCTTTACTACTGGGAACACTTGGAAGCACTTGTACTCACTGAAGCGCAGACGAGAGAGACATACTCTACACTTGGAAAATCCTAGAGGGACTAGTCTCTAATCTGCATAGAAATCACTCCCTACGGAAGCGAAAGACTTGGCAGGCGGTGCAACATACCCCCCAATGAAAATTAGGGACACCGTTGGTACTCTACGAGAAAACACAATAAATGTCCGAGCCCCAAGGCTGTTCAACAGCCTCCCACCAGACATATGGGGAATTACCAATAGATCCCCTGCCTGTCTTCAAGAGGGAGCTGGACAGATACCTAAATTTAGTCAGTGCCGGATCTGCTGGGCTGTACTTCGTACGTTGGACTACGTGCGGCCAGCAGTAACAGCATAGTTGATCAGGCCCTGATCCACCAGGAAGCCTGGTCATGAACAGGGCCGCGAGGGCGTTGATTCCCGGAATACCCTTCAGGTAGACTCCAGGTAGATGCTAACAAACTATCTAGGGCGTATTGATAGTTTTCCTACATCTAGGCGCTGTCTTAAGTGTAAATGGTTTACAGGTTAGACTGATGGCTTCTATAAAATCTTGCTCTGTGTTATTGTGCAATATCAGAAGTGCACAATATATCTCCTTGAACGATAATGCAATTGTACCTCTTACTGCTTCCAATAATTTGTGTTCAGATAACCCTGAGGGCAACACTTGACTCATGCATATTAGGTACAACAATTTTATCTACTGGTTCTTTAGGTTCTACAACCATTATGATCTTAGAATCAGGGTTATTCGAACACAAATTACTGGAAGCAATAAGAGGTGCAATTGTACTATCGTTCACAGTGGTATATTGTGCACTTCTGATATTGCACAATAACACAGAGCAAGATTTTATAGAAGCCATCAGTCTAACCTGTAAACGAAATACACTTAAGAAAACACCCAATGAGTTTCTTATTTCAAATGTTTCAGAATTTTCCCAAGAATCTGCATTTTCAGTAACTTTGGACCCGTAACCTCGTGTTTCGGTTTTCGCTACAGTGACTGCTGTGACCAGATGAAACACTGACAATTCCGATTCATCCATTACTCCTTTGAATCTTTCTTAAGTAGACTTAATTAAGGCTCATTTGGAATATCCATCCCTGGATAAGTACAGACAACTTGTTCAGAGTGGAACTTTAGTTAGCAACTATAAATCTGTGTATAGCGGTAAAATTTCGTTTAAGCAAGAAATCATTTCCAGTAACATGGACGATGGTTTTAGTTCTTTCTTTGCTGTGTCGAGAGAAAACGCTTAAGCTATCTCATGACCTATCAGTTTTGGAACATTTTCCACATTAGAAAGTGTATAATAAATTAAAAAAACTATTTTTGGACCTGAATGACGTCAGATGTAGAAATCGTTGTAAATCTTGCCACATTTACCAGTTAGCTTCATAGAAGATAAGACCCAGATGTGTTCCTATTGAGAAAGTACCAGTCGGTACCGATGCACATCAACGATTTGCTGAGAGTATAGTTGGTCCTTTGTCTCCTCCTTTAGAGGAACACTAATTATATATCCTACCCATGATCGATTTCTCTTTTATTTCCAGAAGCAGTGCCGACACCACCACTACTGATGTCACCCCCATGTTCACCACCACTAATGTCTCAAGTATCTTCACAACCACAGTAAACGACTCAACCATCTTTACCCCCACCATTAAAGTCACCATCGTCTTAGCCAACTCACCCATTAATGCCACAACCTCCTACATCAGTCTCTCTTTGTCTGTCTATTTCTCTGTCTGTCTTTATCTGCCTCTGTCCGTCTCTGTCTCTGTCTGTCTGTCTCTCTCTCTCTCTCACTTTCTCTCCCTCAATATAATGCTTAACAGTATATAAGTTGTAATTCCAGAAATTATTTTAAAATTATTAGTACATATATTGTATAAACACTACACAATTTATAAACTATATTTAGAAGAGAACTGCATTGATTTCCATTAATTTACTTTGTTTTCCATATTACTTCAGTCTAATAATAAAAAATGGTGTACAAAATTTGATTTTTGGTATAAGTTACTATTGAGTGTGATCACTCCGGGTGTCTGCAACAGCCAGGCCACCGAAATGTGCCGTTATTTCCTGCAGTGTTTTTCCCTTGGTCTCCGGCACCACCAGGAGGGTAAACACTAGAGCCACCAGACACATCCCGCCAAAAAGCCAGAAAGCGCTGTAGTCGCCCAGGGCCATCTGTGGACAGATAAACGTGATGAACATCATGTGAAAAATGGAAAATTACAGACGGACACCATCAGCACTTCCATATTCAAGAGATAAGGTATCTAATGACTTTACTAGTTACACACACACTCACACATACATACAGGGGTCGAGCAATGAATCGACCCCTGTAAAAACAAGTAAGTGTGTACACGGTCACACACGCACACACACACACACACACACACACACACACACACACACACACACACACACACATACACACACACACACACACACACACACACACACACATACCCACACATAGAAGAGGTATGACAAAGCTCATGGAGCAAGAAGAGTGACTTAGTAGCGACCAATGAAGAGGCGCGGCTAGAAGCTGTGACTTGACCCCTGCAACCACAACTAGGTGAGTACAACTAGTTGAGTACGCACACATACATACACACACACAGCTCCTGGCAAGGCCAGAAGCTGTGAATCAATCCTGCAAACACATATAGATGAGAACACACACATACACATTTATAAATACATATGTACACACTGCATGTGCATACAGATACACACACGCACACAGGAGAAACCACAGGTTATGGAATCATCAACATATAGGAGGGTGTTCCTAGACTACGACAGATCGTGGCGGAACTACAGCAGCTGAGGGAAAGGACACAGAAACGAAAGGGGCTAGAAAGAGAGACAAGGATAGTCAGCAGGGGACAACCAGAGCCGGGCGGAGCAACAAGTGCAATTACCCACAGAACCACCCTCAGAACCCAACAGCCAAACATATTATCCCAATATAAACCACACTCAACACTCACAGCCTCCACCCCACAGTATGCAATGGAATCCCATAGCACCCTGCCAGGTCCCCCACTCCCCCAAACCCCACAAATCCCCAGAATACAGTGTTGAAGAGGAAACTGAAGGTATGGTACACCAATGCTGATGGACTAACGAATAAGTGGGAGGAGTGTCATGAAAGAATCAAAGAGACATCACCAGACATCATAGCTCTCACAGAAACCAAGCTCACAGGAATAATAGCAGATGCCAGATCCTGAGGAAAGACAGAGGGAACAGAGGAGGAGGAGTGGCACTGCTTATCAAAAACCAATGGGATTTTGAGGAGCTGGAGAGAGGAAACATAGGAGAAGCAAGAGACTACATAACAGGAACACTTAAGTCTGGAGGTCCCAAGATGGTAATTGTAGTGATGTTTAACACACCACAGAACAGCAGAAGGTCAAGGCAAGAATATGAGAGTAACAGAGCAATGGTTGACATACCAAACCTGCACACGAAAATCGCTCCCTATGAAAGCAAAAGGCTCGGCAGGAGATGCAACATTCCCCCGATGAAAAGCAGATGCGCCAGGAGTACAGTGAGAGACAACACAATAAGTGTCCTAGGCCCAAGACTGTTCAGTTGCCTCCCAGCATGGCTGTCTTCAAGAAGGCACTGGACAGGCACCTAAAGTCAGTACCTGACCAACCGGGCTGTGGTGCGTATGTCAGCTTGCGTGCGGCCGACAGTAACAGCCTGGTTGATCAGATCCTGATCCATTATGAGGCCTGGTCTCAGACCGGGCGCGAGGGTGTTGACCCCTGAAACACTCTCCAGGTAAACTCCAGGTAAACACTGGCTGAAGTGGCCAGAAGGACCCATGTGGGCAGGGCAAAGCTACAGATTGTGGGAGGCTTCAATCATAAAGAAATTTACTGGGAGAACCTGGAGCCACATGGGGCCCTAGAAACGTGGAGGGCTAAGATGATGGAGGTGGTACTGGAAAACCTCATGTACCAACACGTAAGGGACACTACCAGAGAGAGGGGAGAGGAAAGGACGAACCAGCAAGACTGGACCTAGAATTCACCTTGAGTAGTACAGATACTGAGAACATCACATATGAAAGAAACCTCAGGGCTAGTTACCACGTAGTTCTTAGCTTCGAATGCATAGTTACAAGTGGAGAGGGAAGCAGGTAGGGGAGGACGAATGAAGCCAAACTACAAGAGAGGGAACTACACAGGCATGAGGAATTTCCTGCATGAGGTTCAGTGAGACAGAGAACTGGCAGTACCCATCTTGGGGTGAGTATAACACCGGGCACATCTCCTGAGGCGCACATCAACCAAATAGCTGCTGCACTATATGGGTGCCTAGCAAACCTAAGAATAGTGTTCCAACATCTCAGTAAGGAATCGTTCAGGACCTGTACACCGTGTACGACAGGGCCGTATTAGAGTACGCAGCACCATTCTGGAACCCACACCTGGCCAAGTACGTCAGGAAATTAGAGAAAGTGCAAAGGTTTGCAACGAGACTAGTCTCATAGTATGTCCTATGAGGATAGGTTAAGAGAAATCGACCTAACGACATTGGAGGAGAGGAGAGAGGGGGGATATGATAACGACATATAAAATACTGAGAGGAATTGACAAGATGGACAGAGACAAAATGTTCCAGAGATGGGACACAGCAACAAGGGGTCGCAATTGGAAGTTGAAGACTCAGATGAGTCACAGGGATGTTAGGAAGTATTTCTTCAGTTATAGAGTTGTCAGGAAGTCAAATAGTCTGGAAAGTGATGTAATGGAGGCAGGAATCACACAGTTTTAAGACGAGGTATGATAAAGCTCATGGTGCAGGGAGAGAGAGGACCTAGTAGCGATCAGCGAAGAGGCGGGGCCAGGAGCTATGAATCGACCCCTGTAACCACAAATAGGTGAGTACACAATCTTAATCTCCTGGGATGGCTAAAATCTGAAATAAAAAAATTCTTTTGCAGTGACTCTTTTATAAAAAAAATGATTAATTACAAAATCAATAAATATTCAAAGATTGGAGTGTATTTGTCTGAGAAAAATGCCGCATCTGAACTACTGGCAGCACTAAGGTCCTCTTGGGCGTGGGAGAGATTTGCAGCCCTTGCATCCCTCCGAGGAGTTACCCCTCCACTTTCCTCCCCCCTTTTTTTTTGTATCTTTTTGCTTTTTTTACTTTTTTCCTCTTTTGGAAAAACAAAAAAACAAGTGACCTAACCATGGAGTCCCAAGTCCATGATACTTCTCCTCCCAGACCCCTTTGTGCTGCAGTGCCCTCTTCCGACCCTGCCTCTTTATTGAACCATTCCTCTGACTATTCTAACACCCTGGTACCTTTTGCGGGTAGCATATAGTTACCTCCTCCTCGTACCGGAGTTCTTCCTAACTCCTATCATACATGCGACCTCCGGTCGTCTTTGACAATGCTTCCGACTTCTCTCTCTATGGTGCGACGATTCTCAGATTGCCCACACATCTCGCACATCTCAGGACAGACCATCTCCGGTCCCACACCTAAACGACCACTACCATTAACAGAGGACACTGCTTCGATTACTCTCGCTCTTCCCAGAAAAGACTAGCGCGACACTCACTCCCGTCATACATTACATTTGGACTGTTTTTCACTCTGCAACCTGTATCTCCCACTATCTTTCTGTTCATAGTATGAGCAAGGCACCCCTATGCCATTTTAATCAAAATATTCATTTTATTCTCTTAAGAGTGGTGCATGCATCGTCATGGTGTAAAATGCCTACCAGGCTTTCAATTTTTCCCTTTTACCTCCATAGACAATATTCCTGTTCACCATTCAAAACACATTTCTCTCAGTTCTTGCAGTGAGACCTTAGTTCTGCCTTATATCATAGTTCAACGTGATTTCCTGACATATGATACCGACATTCTGGAGCAACTTGAGCTCCAAGACCTCCCAGTTTTCAAAGTGGACACTTATGTACTACCTGCCCGTGGGCAGAGATGCTTCCCCTGCAATGTAACTCGCTTAGCTTTTGACCGCCGAGAACTTCCGTCCTCAATGTACATTGCGGGACACCATTTATTAATCGGAGAATCGATCCCTACACCATAACAGTATAGAAATTGCTGGTGCTTCGCCCACCCAGCGAAATATTGCAGGTCCATGGCAGAATGCCCAGTCTGTGGTACTGTCGAACATACCAATACATCTTGTAGCCTACCTAGTGAGTCTCACCTGGCTTCTTTACTTCGTTGTGAAGTTTACTTAAAAGAATGAGAAATCTGATATCTCAAAGAAAAAGTGGGTTTCACTTATGCCATGGCAGTCTCTCATCTCCTCCTCCACAGGAGAAATCCACGATTTTCTTATTCTAGAGTTTTTAATCGGCTTCCATCTTCTGTGATACCTACTTCCACAATCTCCCCTGTGGTCACAACTTCCACAGTTTGGTACCACTGTTTCTAACTCCTTTGCAGTCCTCGACTCCGAGGTCCCTTCCTCGTCGCCTCAATCTGTCACTGAGTCTTCATATTCTCACTTGCATGTATATATGTCTATAAGCCGTTCCACAACTACACCTTCCTTTCGCGTTTCTACTTTTCCAAAGACTAAAGTATCCCCAAAGTTCAAATCTCCTTTAATCCCTCCCCTTTCACTGATCTTTCCCAAACATTTTTCCATTCTGGTCTCTGTTCCTAGTACTTTATCTCTAACTGTCTGTTACGGTTATGGAGGTTCATCCTTTCCCTCGTACAGTTCTCTCCTCTCCTGTCCCCTCTCAAGTTTCTTCCTCTCCTGTTCCCTTCCAAGTTTCTTCCCAAGTTAACTCTAACCTCTCATCCCCCCACTTCTTTGGTTAGGTTAGGTAAGGTTCGTCAGGAAACAGGACAAATGTTTCCTGATGCGAGTCTTACTCAGATGATGACCCGCCTTTAGAGCTTTGGACACCGATCCACATCCCATCGCTCCTCCTCCTCCTCCTCACTCTTCTAAACCATCTTCACAACTCCTTTCCTCGCAGCATTCCAGTCCTTCTCTGCTTACTCGTTTTCCGCTACCTCCACATACAGTATTTCCATACAACGGGTGGGGCTTGAACCCGCGGTAGAGAGTCGTAAAACTCCAGACCGATGAGTCAGCCACTAGGCCAGCTGGTTACAATAAGAGTCACCCAACTAGGTATATTTATACACCAT